AGAAATTAACAGAATTCATAGCAAAAGGGAATGATTTTTACTTTTAAACTATGAAAACGTTAAGTCAGTCTTGTCTTCAGGTGGATTATCTTTGCTACCACACGGGGAATCTTGAATCAGATTTTTACAAAACATGTTATTTACAAAACATGTGCAGTGAACTAGACAGGTAAGTGAACAGAAACCCGCTTACATCTTCTGCCTGACAGTAGCTGTTGCTCTCTCCCTATGAACAAAAACCAAGCACCATTTAACCTCCATGAAATACAGCAAAACCATACTGCAGTCAAGTTTAAGTAGGCACTGATACTGTTTGTGCATTATGTATACCCTCATGGCTTCTGAACACAGAAAACATTATCTTCATTTTGCTGAGGAAAGAACATCAGGAAATTCTGACTCTACAAAAATAAATGGAAATTTTACCGCCAAAGGCAGGACATCACCCTGAAAAAGCAAGTACCAGACTCTGAAATGTATTTAGAAATCTATTATGGCATTAAATGCAGTCAGAAAGCACTGACCAAGCACAGCAGAGTACATAAACTATTGTGCTTTACAAAGCTATAAAAAGTGCTCCCCAAGATACTCTTCTCTGTATTCTGCCATCACTTTACATTAATACATGGTTGAGATTTCAGGCACTGGGGAAACATACTGCTCTGCAAAGAAGCTAGTAATTTAAAGACAACAAGGTCATGTCAAAGATGTACACCGAGTGTTCGGAGAGGAGGAAGAGCAGACAAACAGTACTTCATTTACCCGTACTGCACAAGAAATAACACATTTTAAGGAGGAGGAGCAAAGGAGTGTAGGTTTAACCCCTTCACTCCACAGTCCTTTGCCCCACAAGGTAAAAATAGTGTTGAAAATATTTTCCTGTTATTGGGTGGAATTAATAAACTAGCAGATACATTGATACTGCCACTGAAGAATAAATCCCCTTTCCGTATTATGCATACTGAAATATTTGGTAATATTTTAAAGTCCTTCATACAGCTCTAGATGTGGTTGTAGAGGTCTAGTTGCAGTATAATGCCTCTGGATCACATGGGATGAAACTGAGGACTTAAAATGGAGAACTCTGGTCTTACAATTTTACTCACTGAATCCAACAAGAAACAGACACCTTAACATAAAGCGCAAGCCATTTAAGTGGAGGCTGAGGAGAATACAGCTAAGCAAGTGCTGTGTTATTCAGTCCAGCTGGTGAAAGCTGGAAATGATACAGGAGGTACAAAGTTTCCTTCCTACTGGGATCTGTAGCATTCATTTCTGACTGAAGAGGACAAGGCTAGAAAGAAGTCTTGGACAGAAATCTGGTGTCCAAGAATAGAGAGATTAATTTCATTGCTGTAAATCCTGCTGACATCAAGGCAAATACAGAGGGAGGAAGTCATGATCCCAACCATCTGTTTATGGATAAAGAAGAAAAAAGTTTTCCATCCCTTCAGATTTTGAGAAGAGAAAAAAACAACACATTTGGGAAAGAAAAAAAGCCAGGAACCCAGAAAACCACACTGAGCAATCCTGATTTATAAAAACAAGAACCCATATCTCTTCTTGCTCAAACCTTTAAGTGTGCACTATGAAATAAAACTACTCTCCTACAGTAGTGTGAAACACAAGAGATACAGATATGTCAACAGCAGGGAATGATTAAGATACATTTTAGAGTATGCACCTCCAGAACATCAGTGTACCTGTGCTTATTATTACCAACACTAAGAAATGCTGCAGAGAAAAGTGGTGGAATGCATCTCCATCACAAGAACAAGGCTAGACATATTCCTTTACCCTAAAACTTCTCCCAGGCATAGCTCGCTGCTCTTTATTAATTATTCAAAAAGGTATTACTGCTTTAATTTGCTTGTTGTGCATGCAGAGCAGTAAGTTTGTTTTGTAATGGAAAATCTCATTTGGAACAGCCTAAACTAGATGTAGCAGATTGCCTTATTTTGATGTCAGCCTGCTTTTTCTGGCTGTGTGTTTCATCAGTGTCAGTGGAACCACCCTCAGCCCTAAGTAGGCTATGCTGCTTCTCCTCCTTCTCTCAAGGGCAGAAACTGTAGTCATGAAAATACAGATTGTTTACAGTAAACATCCTAAAAAGCCATTAATTATTTTTGGCTGCTATAATATGCTAATATGCCTAATTTCTGTAGAAACTATAAAAATCTCTGCACTTCCAATCAGGCGCCACTGGGTTTATATTAGTACATCATGAGATCAGCAAAATGTATGAAATTCTGAGGTTTAAAACATATTTGTGGTATTTCTGTCCCTTCTCCATTTTTCCCTCTAAAAGTGAAAAGTAACTCTGCTTTTTAGAGCAGAAATTATACTTCATGCAGTAATGATGACAACCACATGGATTCTAAACAAAAACAATGGCTTGCACGAACAAGCACCCACTGTACTCTGCTAGAGAAAAGCACTGCACTATTGCCTGGTAATAGTCACAGTTCCCTATCTCTGGCATTTACTCGATTTTCAGATACAAGTGTGAAAATTTAATCCACTGAAAATCTATTAAGGAGAGATTGCAACAGAACTATCACTGAAAAAAAGCAGCTCCTGAAATGAAAGACAATCAGAATAATGAGGTTAGGTGTCCTCTCCTGACAAGGCACAGATTTGGCAGTGCAAATGTGTTAAACTTATTTGCCAGTTAACTATTTCTCCAGCACGGAGCCATCCCAGCCATCATCCATCCTCCTCCCTTTACAGTCCAAGCGCAACAGGAATGGGGAATGACAGGATAACACCGTGTTTACTTTACATATAGCTACTTTGACAGCCCTTAGAGTGCTCATGCAGCCTGCACAAATAGAATGGCTGCTCTACTTATTAAATTAGGCTACTTTAATATAAATTGGTTGGGACATGGCCAAAATTCTACTAGAACTGGCATGATGCAGTCAGGGCTCAAATGCGTCTTTGTTCAACATCTTTGGTTGCATGGAAAGATGCTTGCTTCAGCTGAAGTGTGAGCTGGAGCCTAAGCATATCATCTTCAATACCTTCCTCTCCATGGCTTTGTGAAGCTAAGCGACCCAACAAAGACACATTTTGTTTAGTGGTCTTCAAGCCTTCCCTTTCCAATAACACAAGTCCTCCAGCAGTTTGTCATGAATCAAACAAGGCTGGACTTGTCTCAAGATTGGGAGCCTCAAGCCTGCAACACTAATTAACTAACCCGTATTGCTCTTTACTAATATATACTGTACACAAAAGGGTAACTAGCTTTTTATACGCAAGAGTAAAAACCATTTTCCATACCAAGAGCCTTTGTGGCCCCATGACAGGGGCATGGAAATTCAGCCATAAATGAGAAAGCTCCATAATCAAAATCAGAACCATTTTACTGAAGTGAGTGACTAGCAATGAAGCAGTCTGCAGCTATAACACAGCTGACAGGAAGGACTGGGGATGGACTGCTTTTTGTGGAGAAAGTAAACGTGAGTCAGTCTTCCCTGTCTTTTTCTGAACAAGGGAAAACAGAATAGTTTATAAATTCACAAATTAAAATCAGTTTCAGGAAGAATGCAGTGAAACTTAGTGTGAGAGCACCACCAGAGAAGTGCCATTTCCACAGTTAAGGGAAACGCTGAATCCATTCATTGCACTCTTTTTTCTATTACTCAATTTTCATAGAATCATAGAATCATTAGGGTTGGAAAGGACCTTAAGATCATCTAGTTCCAACCCCCCTGCCGTGGGCAGGGACACCTTACGCTAAATCATATCACCCAAGGCCTCGTCCAACCTGGCCTTGAACACTGACAGGGATGGAGCATTCACCATATTCAAATTTATTCTTTATTAAATCCCACTGTTTCACAATCTAATACAGCCAACTTCTGACAGAAGACTTACAGCATGCTGTTTGAAAATACATCACCTTTTTCAGTGAAGAGAGGCAGGAAGGAAACAAGAAATGTTTCCCCCTTCACCTCTCTCACTCTCCCTCCCCTCCCTTCCGCCAACACGCTGGTTTCATGCTTGTTGCTCTACTCCTGGATGTGATCATACACTGCCTCAAAGCATTTGCCTTGCAGGGACAAAAATCCCACCAATTGTCTATACAGACCCACATTTCTGGCTCTTTTTCTTCTTCTCTTCCTCACAGCATCTATCTTTCTCACCTTCCAGCCTTCTTTTTTTCACTTCTTTTTCTTAACAACCATCTGGTCCATATTTAAGAAGACACAGTGCAATTAACTGAAGGGGAACCACCAGAAAAGACTTATGGACCCCTTAATCATTTACACTTGGAAGGTGTAAAGATGGCCAGCACAGTATACCAGCTAGCAATGAAAAAACAAACAAACAGAAATAGGGAGCCTGAACCACATATTTCTGGAAAACGTCCTGTTTGCAATGGGAAACATTATCCTAAAGTGTAGAACACTGAGTGCATTTTACAGCTCATATTACTCACTTGGTCCTTTCAAAATTATTTTATTAATTTTGCTTGCCTTATTTTTTTTAATTTGAAATCATTTATATGTACTTTTCTGCTTTAATGTAGTAGTCAATCTTAAAGTGATTTACAAAAGAAGTTGGTACTATATTCCCTATCTGACAGGCAGGAAACTGAGCTACAGACAAGAGACAGACCAAAGGTCAGATGCTGGCTGCTGGCAAAGATAAGGCTAGTTTCCATTTCTCCAGGCTTCCAGTTCAATGCTGCAGTAAATATGTCTTCCTACTTCTCCGCCTGTGGGTGAAATCAAGTTCTTTCAAGATAGTTTTTACATGAAATATTTAATAACTGCAAAAATGGTACATTTACAAAAAATTCTGTCTAGAAGTGGCACACAATGCTACTCAAGTATATTTGCATATATACTATGTATTACTTGATGAATAAAACTCAGTCTTCTTTTAGACAGAAAACAGATTTCTGTATGCTTACGTTAACATAATAAATACAGCAAGACATTTGTTTCAGGCAAATGAAGCCATCCAGGGAATCCCAATGAGATGTTACCTACCAAATTTTTGGTCAAACCTCCACGCTGGAACGTGCGCATTGTGCTTCAGGTTGCTGTTTGTTGGCAGAGGCACTGTTACATAGATGGGGCCATTCACAGGGATTGGAGTCCCATCGCTGTTGAGGAGATGAACGCTGACTGCAGTGACAGGGGTGAGGTCATACCTAGTGCTGTTTCCTACCAAGAGAATGAATGAATATTGTGACCACAGAATTTCCTAGAATTTACACCCATGGTGTCCAAAAATGCAATACTACACCAGCGTATTTCCTCTAGGGACTATGGAAGTAATCCTCCCCACCTTACAAAATTTACAACACAGATATCCATGCTTCTGTATTTTTCACTTAATTTTGGAAAACTGTGAAGAAAATGACAATGAAAAAATCTCCTGCATATATTTTAATTCATCTTAAATAAATATATATGAATATCACAGTGATAATCATGGCAAAAAAAAAAATAATCTCACAAGCCTTTACTATAGCCTCACATGGCCCTATTATAACTGACAGCCAAACACGCAGTGCAACTACAGTGATGATCAGGCATATGTTTAAGAATGCCAGGATGGGTTTCCTTTGGCCTTTCACTGAAATAAACCAAACTAAAGGGATTATTAGGATACACAGTGTTAGCTCCTTATCTATGTAAGGTAATAATAATTACTCTTTATGTTTAAACTGCATGCCAATGGATGTTACCTCATGACAACACTACTTAAAAAAGCGTTATAACCCTTCAGCCATTTAACCAAATTAATCAATGACAGGGAAAAATACCATGTATATATAAAATATATATATATATATATGCACACACACATGTATTCGGGGTATATACATACATGTATTCAGAGGAGGAAAGCTTGAAGTTTAAAACCAAAGAGAACTGAAACTTTAAGCAATAGTGGTAGTAGTTCAAATCTGAAGAGATGGAGCTTCCAGTTTTACGGGTCCCTAGTGCTGCCAAGAGCATCAGTCTTGCAACCTCCTTCGTGCTAATCTGGGGTTGTGCAGCTTGTCATCTTGCTGTGGGGCTAATGTGACAGAAGTAGCAGCGGTGCCTGGTTGGCAGAGCATGGGGTACTGTCCTTCCTGCAATCCTGGTGCCTTACATCAGCATAAACTGCCTGTAAAAGCACATTCACACTCCGCAGTGGTACACTACCTGCAACGCTGAGACACACAGTATCCTCAGGAACATGCATTATCTCAGTGACTATACATTAGGATGAGTACATTTGAGAGAATGAAGGGAAAGCATTAAGACCTTTATGACTTCTCCTAACAGTGAGTAAGTCTCAAGGAATGGCTTTTAAATTTGTTATCTCTGAGTAACAGCTCACCAAAGTTAAAATTGGCAAACGGAAAGGAAAAAGATAAAACTCCTCAGAATTTTCAGATTCTTTGGATTTTGCAAGAGTTGCCAAACTGAAGACATGGAAAATAACCAGCATGTGGCTTATTTACTATAGCATCTGCTCTGATGCACATTTTCCCCAGATTCCAAGGCAAGTGTCACTGCTGCACAGCTGACAAGCAAAGGGGAATGCACACTGCTTTGATCTACTGTGAACGGCAGGGCAGAAGCATATCTTCCAGAGGAATTAAAATGCTGAGAAAACAGGCACTTCGAAGATGACCATATAAGAAAGCCACAGAGCTAACAGAGAGAAAACCAGAAAAAATAAGGTTTGGAAATTCAGTTAAGGTGTAGGGGAAAGCTGACAGCCTACCCAAGCATTTGTATATTACAGGTTCCAATGGTGCACAGTATCATCCCCTTACAGCCTTAGAATATAAAATAGAGGAGGGAACTGGTGGGGGAAAAGTTGTTCCTTTACTCCCGATTGTTCGATCCACTGCTTCTGTCACGCACCTGTAACTTATGTCAGACTGATACATGTCCCCAGGTCACTGGACTTGAGTCACTAAGTTTCTCAGGCTGTATCCCAGAAATAAATTCCTGGTACTTAGTAGCATAACCTGACTAAGTTCTGGCATACTACAAATTCCTAATGACAAAAGGTACAACTTCAGATCTTAGTTATCTGAAGTAAGATTAATATTTAAGATTAAATTATATATTTTACTTATTTTTAGATATCAAATGTCTTGAATTTCTCTTTCATTAGTGTCTTGATAAAGCATATCTGCCTAATATCTGTAAATATGAGTTTTCATCCCCAGAAAAAGCATTCTGACTTTGCATCTTTTTTACTTAAGATGTACTGACTTTGCTCTGTGTTGTCTTGTACTGATGCTTTGCTCAGTGCTGGGTTGAACAAGTTATATTAGAAAATGGAAGAAATTTCTGAAATCCACTGACCTCTGCAAGAAGAAATAATCCTTCAGTTTTCCACCTTGCACAGTATTTAAATGCTCATTAAAAAGATAAATCTTTGTCTTTTCTGTTGTAAAGGTAAATTAAAATCAATGCTTATGAAATTCTCACATGCTAAAAAATGATAAGCACATGCACAGATTAAATGGGAATGGACTTCAATAAATGTCAGCTTTCATTTCTTTCTTATCATTTTTGACTTCTGGTGACCTGCAAAGAGCTTTAAAAATAATCAGAGGAAAATCCTCTGTGATTTAGACTCAACTCTTTATAGAACAGACTACAAATGCAGCAGGAGTAATGGTTATTAGCCAGCTTTGTCCATTGCTGTAGCTGATGTCAAGTTTTGTTTACCTTAGTTAAAAAGACAAGATACTGTGAAACCAGTCTGTTCAACTGGTGATTAATACAAACAATCAGCTAATACTATACAGGCTTGTCACTACGAGCAGCTAAATTCTCGGAATTTTTATGTTTGGAACATGCTGATTCATGCAATGAATTTTCACTGCTCCATATTCGACACCCAGTTGGGATTTAGTGGAAACTGTTGAACTCATAGACAATAGGTCTTAGTTAAAACAACTGTAAAGTCACTCTGGATGAATATTAGTCAGAGAACTGAGCTCACTGAAACAAATGGGAAGACCTCTCCAAAACTCTACAGACATGTAGAACTGTGAAAGAACAGAGGAGTAACTGGGTGGGGAAGAGAGGTGAGAGACAGAAGAGACGGAGCAGTGTTCAGGAACAGGAACACTCCAAAACTTCCCATGCATGTAAATGATAAGTTTTTTTAGACTTCTAAAAGTTTTACATATTTTCCTTTTGATAAGAGAAATATTCAAATTACCCCAGCAAGTGGTGATTTCATTTTTTATTTCTGAAAAAGCTTTTCAGGTGAAATCTTCACCAAGCCATGTGGAGATGAAGGAAAGCAAGTCAACCCAAGTTTAGGATTTTAAAGTTCCATCTTTCCACAGGAGGAGAAACTTCTCATAAAAATGGAGAACATTTCACCTATACTACTGTGCATATACCAATGTATTGTATTTGTAGTCTGTATTATATCATACTGAATACTAATACTACAGCATTCAGAAAACATGGCTCTTCACAGTCTTTTAAACCCCATCTGCCAGCCATTTTGGTCTTTTGTGACATACTTTTACTTGAAGGCTAGTAACAGTCAAATCCAGGGCTCCATGCTCAAGTAGAAAAGGTTCTGTCATGCAAGCAAACACAACACTAAAAATCCAGGGGCGCATTCACCTGTTTTGTAGGAGGCAAAACAGGAGAAAGACGATATCCTGGCTATCTGGGGTGTTCAAGGCCAGGTTGGACAGAGCCTTGGGTGACATGGTTTAGTGTGAGGTGTCCCTGCCCATGGCAGGGGGGCTGGAACTAGACGATCCTTTCCCACCCTAACTATTCTATGATTCCATGTAAGTCTCAGGAAAGTGATCATCTGAAAACGTGGCGAGACCTATTTTCACTAAATAAATGCAAGGGTGGGAAGTTGGGCTGCTGAGTACTAAGGAAAGACTTGGGAATCCCACACACATTGTTAACGCTTTGTTCAGTGGGTTTAGAGATAAAAAGAAAGGAGATGAGGAAGGAGACAGACGAATGAGATCAAGTGCATTCCTTCATTTTAAAAAAGAGATAAAGAGATATTTGATCATGTCTGAATATGAAGAGCCAGATAAGACTGATGGTTGAAGATGAGAATAGGGAAATAACAGAGAGAGAGAATGAGATAGGATGAGATGTACTCCCTGGAGCAGACAGAAGCATTGGAGTAAGGTAGCAGACGTTCCTAATCATAATAGAAAAGGGGATATTCAGATTTGTACAAAGGGAAGTTTATTTTGCCTTTTTTAGGGAAAAGATAGCAAGCTCAGTATATACACACATGACCTAGCATTCAAAGTCACCTAGATCAATACATCACAAGTAAACGCATCCTGAGAAACAGCAGGGGTTATTCAGCCTGCTTCAAAGCAGGCTCTTTACGCCTATGCCATCCTCGCAGGTCATTGCCTAACCTTGTCCAACACCCGCAAGCAATTGTTTCTAAAGCTTAAACTATTCTCACCATAGTGAGGTTTTTCTCATAACTAGTCTGTATCTCTCTTGCTGCACTGCAAGTCCACTGTTGCTTTCTACATCACTAGGAACATAGAGAAAACATTATTCTCCTTTTCCCAGCAGCATTTTATGAATTTAAAGAGCTCTGTTCCCAATTCTTCTATTTTTTGCTAGCCTACACAACACCAATTATTTCAATTAAGAGTAAATGAGAAGTGGAAGAAGATTAACAGGCAGTCACAGTCATAAAAATGTATTACAGCTTTGAACTGAACAGTGGTCGTGTTTCTACTATGAATTTTCATTGTTTTCCCTTGGTGCTAGATGAATTTGCACACTTTTGGCTAAAGCTAGATCCAAAAGTATTAACCAAGCCATTGAAACAAGTCATAGCTGAAACAACAGAATACTGAATCCTTGATATACAGGCATTTTATTTATTTTTAGAAAAAAAATGAACAAGAATTCTATGGCATCCTCAAGTTAAATTCTCTTTTGTCCCTTCACATTAACTTCCATTCTTGTACATGCACATGTGACACATTTGGAAACTTAGCTCTAAACTACAAGTGTTAACAAACTTTTCTGATCTCCCAAGATCAGAGTTTTCACCTTTGGTATTCAGTGGCCCCATTTAAGGGACAGCGGACCTTGCTCTCTTGCTTATTGGAACAGCACGTTGGTAGGGAAGTTGAACCTGTAACATCACATGAATTTTAAGGAACATCTGCTGGAATGGGGAATGGAAAAAATTGTATGGTCAAAAGTCAATCTCAGGACCAATATGAAATCAGAGCAAAAACAAAGTAGTGGGTTACCTGTTCCATTTCCATCTAATCCCTGCAAATAAGGAAAACTGTCCACTTCCCAGGGTGAACTGGCTGCAGTCAGATATGCTGTCAAATCGCTGTAGCTAGTGTTCTCAGGTAATTTCACAGATCTTCTCTGAAAGTGAACTTGTGGCTGAGTCCGTGCACCTAAAAATAATTAGAAGTGACTTTATATCCAAGGTGGGCAGAATACGTAGGTTTCTGCATTTATGGAGGCACATCTACAGTCGTCTTTTATTAGAAATTGTGACAGTTTGTGAAGGATAGAGACATCAGAGGGCTATTATGACAGAGGAGGGAAAACAGTATTTTTACATTTATTTTGCACTCGCCATTATTTTTCCACAAGTATTACAGAGCAAAACTGTTAAGGCACCTAATGTCAGAGGTTTTTCTTGCTATGTTTTTCTCCCCTGGATCACCTCCAATTTCATTACATGCTTATTTTAATGTATATAACCGAAACTAAAACTGAGTTCAGAGACAGAGCACGTGAAAGCACAGAAAAGCATCCTGTTCACCACATTTGTTTATATTTTGTTTTTCCTGAATTCCTGAAATAGCAAGATAAACGTAATTTATATTCTTGAAAGTGATTTTCTAAGAGACAATTCTACCTGTAGTCCAAATTAACTTGTGTAATCTCTGTATTTAATTTTTACAAAGCTTTGGCCACATTACCTACCTCTAGTGCTGAGGGAACAATTGCTTTTCATTTAAATCCCTGGATAAAAAGATTTACTTGACAAAACTTGGGTGAAAAGTTTCCACATTTTCCCACATAAAGAACACATCTAAACAGAACCAGATTAGTGGGCATCTAAGATTTCTCTCTTTTCCTCTGTGTTGTATAGTTTGAGAGTTTTTTTCAAGATCGCTAGGTGTTAATTGAGGGGTCTTTGCTGCAACATGATTTAAGAGTGTTTTATGTGCTATGGCACTTCATGTCTCATTTAAATCTCAGTTTATAAAGTCAACAGTCTTTTTTCAATGGATGCTCACCATTATCACTGTTCAGCAACACACAGCAAGACTCCATCTGCAAGTTTGTGTGTGCAACATGCAAATTAATTTTTAAATCAAAAGCTATTGTATTTTCTGGAGCTCATTTTGAATATGCACAGAACACACACACACACCCCCCAGCACAAAATCAAGAGGCAAGCAGGTTTTTTCTTAATTCACATTTGACTATGCAGTTCAAAGATGGCAACTCAAAACAATTTTGCTTTTTTTCCCCTATTAGTCTCTGCCAGCACTTTAAGGTTACATGCAACTTCACGGCAAGAAAGATTAAAGAGTTTGACTCCCAACTCCTAAGCTCTGTAACTGCCAATGTCATTAACCAGGAGACTGGAATCTTTTCTTCCATTATCTTCTAGCAGGAGCTCTAGCTATGAGAAAACACAAAAATTCCACAGGACAAACTTTGTATTGGCCAACAGGAATCGCTATGTAGGCAGGCAAGTACCTCCAAATGGCTGATCACTGTTTAGCTCTCATGTCTTTGGCAATTCTGCAAGAAAAAGCTATAAACCAAGCTTTTCAATTTCTGAAACACGTAAGTATTTACAGCAGGCTCTCAGGACTGGCAGTATCCTCAAGTGTTTAAGACAGGCATTACACAACACTCATGTGAAATAGGGAGAAATCTCCCTTACCCAATTTCTAGGTTTCAATGGAAAACAACACGAAAGACTAAATAAATTGACTGCAATGAACTTGGGGAAGCTTTCTCTCCTGAGTGCTCTGCAATACCACAGTAGTTTGCTATACCCTGGGAACAGATCTGTTCAGGGAGCTGGGAACCTCTGATTGCACTACTGAGCAGGCTCCTACAGCCCGTAGTGATAAGCGTTCACAGTAACAAAACAGAAAAAAACCTGAACACAATAAAGAAACTGGCATTAGGATTACCACTAACAGTTCAATGTAAAATTGTAGGCTCTTCTGCAGTCTGAATCTCTGGTTAAGATGACTTATGCAAGTTGCCAAGAACCAGTATTATATTTCCAAAGATCTGAAGTAATTAAGAATTAAAACCAAAGTAACTGCTGCTGAGTGTCTAACACTGTAGTTTATGTGAAGGCTCTACGGTCTTCTACTAACAAATAGCTGTTTTGTAGCACTAGGAGAGCAATGAGCTTCCAAATTTTAACTAGATAGGGAGGATTCAGAAAGCCAGTCTTAGTTTCTTGAATCCTAAAGGCAGCACAAAGCATTCCTGTGACTTAGCCCCAAACCTGGCAGGAAAACTTGGATGCAAGTTTTAAGGTGAACGAAACAGCTTCCTCTGTAGATAGTGCTTATACCTACAGTAAATCAGTGCAGAGTAGTTAATTCACACTCTATGTTAACAAGCTCTTTGATAGAGATCTAGCCTCAGCTGGATCTCTCCAAACCTGGCAAGAGCCTTTGAAGGCGCAGAATACCGGGACCTACCGGTGAAAGGCTTGTGAGGTAAGCAGCTACCAAAACTTTTGCCTTCTCTCACCACCTTGCTAGAAAATAATCCAGTGTATTCCTTTAGAGGAGGTCATAGAGGATTTGGGGGCATATGTTTAGGAATAGATTTACTGGGGGAATTGGAAGTGGTAAAATGCAGAGACAGACTTGTGCTGACCATACTCTCTTTTTTTTTCAACAAGTCAACACTTATCACTGGGAATGGACTTATTGCTTCTACTGAAGGTACCTGGACAGCATGCTGGGACATCTAGTCTATGTCCTGCTTTGCCTAGAAAGGTGGGACCAGATGATCCTTGAGGTCCCTTCCAAGCTGTTATTCCACGATTCCATGATATCTAGTTTTGACTTAAAAACCCCAAACAAAATCCAAACACATTCAAGTATAAAACTGGCATGTGACCTCTCTCCACTTGGTGAGTGCCATGAGGTATAAGACTGCTGAGCACTGATCTTACCTTCTTTAAACATCTTCTTGTCATACACTGGCCCTGCATTGAATCACACAATGATTCAAAGGCTGTCAGCTCCAGTTTGGACTGGAGTCTGGACTGGAGTCCAAACTCCAGTTTGGACACACCTGAAGACATAACCATCTCAAAGAGTCCCTCTAGGGAACCTCTCGTCACACTGAATACATGACACATGGCATTACTGGCATTTGAGCTTCAATCTATGCAAAATAACATTGAAGTATCAGCAGTTCATGCTCTGATTGCTCACATGTCAGAGGCAGATAGAGGGTACCCATACAGCTCCCATTCACTGAATGCTGAAGGTTCAGCTCATCACTGGGCCGGTATTGAGTAACTTAAATGACCCAGTGGCTGGCAAGCTCCATCCCTTGCAATTACTGACAGAGCAGAGCAGTGGAATGTAATGCCATCATGAAAATGAAGCTGGCTGCATCAACTCAGACAGACCTCTCAATTGCATAATAAGTCGCTTGCTTGCTTAATTATTCAGAAGCAACTGGTAACTTACTGTACCAGACAGACCTTTCTTTCCCTTTGACTGGGCTTCCAACACCAGTGTTCCCAGTCTGTTCCTGGGTATAATGGGTTCTGTTTTGCTCTCATTTTTGCACTGAGGTAACTCCTAATCAGCTCTTTTGAAGCAGAGTGAAATTACTGGGAAATAAATCGGAGAAGTAACAGAGAAAAACTAGGTCACAAGGACCTTGGATCAAGACAAGAGAGGCTCCATTCAAATTTTAGTACAATGTCTAGGCTGTCCTTCATTCAGGTTTCACCATAAGAGAATTCCCAAGAAAAGGACTGTGGGCTGTTCCCATAAAATAGTTTTTACTGGACAAGACTGAGAGTTCAAATCCCAACCCTTAGAGTACTTGGGGTATCACTTTCCTCTTTTATCCTCTTTCTCTGCTATACCAGCAGAACCAGTAATACTATTCTAATTTATATATATATAGGGGACACTTTGGATCAATTCACTGAAGGGAGCATGATTATGTGGGAAATATTTATGAGTGTCAGTTGTTAAATTGTCCCTCTAGCCTTTTAACATCCCTCATTTATTTGAAGAAAGGAAGCTGTAAATATGAAAAGACTGTTCTTTTAAAGTTAACTGCATATTAGCACTTTACAAAAGAGTAAAAGTATTTAATATACTGTGCTAGTAGAATACTGTTGGTAAACAACATTTCATGTCTTGTCTAATGGAATCCCTTGTGGTTTAACACAGTTCACTGTCCATCTAATCTAAACCATTAGATAATATAGCTCTCAAATTGCAGAATGTCTGTATGGCAGCTGTGCTGTTCTCCTTCTGAGCATTCCATCAGCTACCTAATTTGTTTAGTGCTTTTTCAGCTCCAGTTGTATCTACTGCTATCATTAATGAAAAGCCTATTGTATATCTGGATGCTTTCTAACTATAAAAAAAAGGTGTCAGGAAGGCATAACTGTATTATATTCTCTCAGATAAAACAAAGTTCTCTTAGGATATTATTGAAGGTAGTATTCCCATGCATATTAATTATCTGGTGGAGTGATGCTAATCATAATACACAGGAATAAGACAAAGTTTATGCACTATAAGCTCACAGGAAGGATGTGCCTTGTTTTGGCTCATTAAAGGTATCTTTAAAAATTTCTGTTCTTACATCAACAGACTTACCTCAGTTGTCACATCAACTGGGCTAAGTCAGGTCTGATCCCTAAATCAGATTAACATTTTATCCTTTACTGTGTAATTCAGGAAACACAGTGTTCATCCTACTGATGCTACTGTTGCTTAAACTTCTACGTTTGGCCTTATGAAAAGGTGATTCAAACTTTACTCTTCTAAAACAGTGGGTTTCATTCTGTAATATGTGGGTTTGCAGACAGTCTGATAAGGGGTCCACAGGAGGTACTTAAGAAAAATAAGTTTGTATAGGATATACAACAAAGTTGATATGAGAAATTTTTCTATGCCTTAAATTTCTAAGGCCTTCACAGTAGGAAGCAATAAACAAAACCAGATAAATTTCTCAGACAATAACAACATCAGAAAACATTTTCTGTAAGGGCAGCTAAATGAGGTTAGATATAAAAAAAGAACCAAAACACTTAACAGATAGCAAAATAAACTTCATCTCTAGCTCTCAGACAGCACACTGAAGTCCAAACTTGTTTATTACCAAGTAACTTGAATTCCCTAATCACAGCAGTTAGGAATGAATTTAGCTATTAATCAGTTTGGTAAAACCATCCCACAGAAGAGCATTCCTTGAGGAACTCAGAAAAACTCCCAATGAGATAACCAGTCTCATCCACAGGATAGAGTTCAGAAAGTATCAGGCTGTCAGGCTTTTTGTTTAGAGACCCTCAAATTTCACTTCTGACTTCCAAGAAACATCATACCTTGAAATCCTGAGACTATCTGGACTACATCATCATAGACCATGAGAGTAGCTGAGCGTTCAGGAAGAAGGCCGAGACTCAGTGAAGAGAACACTGTGGGAGAGAAGTGGTTTAAGTGGCATATATTTGAGTTCTCATAAACGCAACAACAACACGTACTTTCTTCTACATTTTTGCAAAAGCAGGCCACCCAAACTATTATAATCATACTGTATACATGGCAGAAACCATATGCATTTTCTAAACCAAATAATTAAACTGCCAGGGTATTATTATTGACCTAAACAGCCTGTTCTACACTTTGACTCCTGCAAGTCGTGCATGGTAGCTGAAAGCACACAACAGTGCAGAGTGAAGCAGGGTTTTGGGTTATAATTCCCAGCTCCAGAGAAACACTTGTCATTACATGAAGAGGACTGGAACAGTAACTCAGTCTGACTGCATTATTTTTCTGTGAAACAGCTATACTTCTTACCTCAGGAAGATATTAATGAAACTTAACTTTTAAATACTTTGAGATTACATAAAAAGTCATACAGAAAGGTAAAGTATGATGAATAAATGTGAATAATTTGCTTTAAAATACAGCATGTCCCTACTGAGTCACCACCCACACTACAGCAGTGTTAAATATAGCGGAACTACTGTCTCTATCAGTGGTGCAAAAGGAGAGAGATAAATGGTATTTGCTGCAAGAAATTTGCCCGCAAGGACCTCATTTGCCACTGGGTACTGACGTTCCTTACAGGGGACTGTGTCTGTATGCACACACATCTCTGAAGAGTGAAGATCATGGTATAATTTCATGCTAAGTTCTTCAGACCCAGAAGACCAGAAGTACGTATGGAATTAGCCACCAAGCACATCTAACTCCTACACCCATGAAAACAGTAAGAAGTAAATCTGCTCACAGTCCATGCATGGCTTTCAAAGACAGAAGAAGAAAAGGAGATTAATAGAGACTAATAATTTTTTGGAAGTGGGCAGCATCCCACGTTTGCACCTGGAAAGTACTCATCTCATTCTGAAGAGACCACAAGCTGAGGAAGACATTTCCAGAACTGATTAATGGAACACTGCAAGCTCTTCTGATTTTCTGGAGCTTCATAAATTTCCTCTAAACTAATATGTATTACCTAATACAAAAGACCGTATAGATGTTAGCTATGAATATGGAGACTATTTTAAGCAATATACTTTTTTAAAGATTAGAAATTTTAGTATTTGGGAGAAATACAGAGGAAAGGAGAAGAAACCTGGAGAAACACACTGATAAGAACCACCATCTAGAAGATGGTCTTAACGTATCTGAGCATTGGAAAAATAAAACAAAGAATCATGTGACTGCAAGTACAGCTGAGAATTTTCTTTCCAATGCTCTAGATGTGAAACAGACCTATACATCAGGCAACATAAACAGGAAAGCCTAGTGTAAGTAGCACTAAGGCCACACAATTACAGAATTTGTCTGTCTTTACTCCAATAACTTAATTTGCATGAAGAAAGCTAATATAATTTAGACACCCTAGGGAGCTCACTACAATAAAACATGCCAACATCTTCTTCCAACATATACGCCAGGCTATAATGCACATGCAACCTCTAAAGTTCCCTCGGGCTTTCCTGCACAATCTTTTCTCAGCATGACAGAAGGATGACTGTGACAATCCAGTCTCACTCCTGTGTAACCACAGCCTTCCCTGAATTAATTACTGCTTCAGCTCCAATAGCTGAGCTTAAACTAGAAAACATGTAGAAAAGCTATCAAATTTTCTTTTAAGGTGTCCAGTGGTGAAGAACACACCACAACATCAAAGTAAATAATTATGAGCACAGTTGAACTCTGTGCCTTTTTACCCATCAAAATTTATTGAGGTTAGACTTCCAGCCATTTGATCTTCTTTTTATACAAGCCTGCTAGACAGAGGAATTCTCTCATATCCTTTTCTTGTTCTCTGTGTGGGTACTGATGGATTACGATCAAATTACTCCATGAGCTTTCTCTCTGGTGAACAAAATAAATTAAGCACTTCCAAGTCTTCCCCTGAAGCCATATCTTCCAATCTTTTAATCACTCCTGATATAACCCTAGAGATATAAACATTCTTCTTGCAGCCTGGATCCAGAACTGGACACACATTTTCCTGAGTGGTTGCACCAAGGACAAGTTCTGAATCACTATACTCTGCCTTCTCAGTCTTTACCTTATTTTACAGCTAAGGATCAGATTATTCTGCCTTATTGCAGTGCTGAATTGGGAGGTAATTTTCAATCGCTCATCTACCATGACTCACATGTCATCTGCAGAGATACTGCTTCCCAGATGAGCTCCCCTCTCCCAGAAGCACCAGAAGCATCCTCTGTTCCTAGGACTACATTTCACCACAGTGAATAACATGCCTTGCCTTGACTGACTGTCATGGTTTCAGCTTTGAGAGAGTTACTTTTTTCTTAGTAGATGCTGCAGTGCTGAGTTTCAGCTTTAGTATGAAAACAATGCTGCTCACCCACGTTCAAGTTGTTCCCAAGTAGTGCTTACCCTGATCAAGGACTTTTCAGTCTCATGCTCTGCCAGTGAGGGCACAAGAAGCTAGGAGGAAGCAGAGGCAGGACACCTGACCCAAACTAGCCAAAGGGGTATTCCACACCATAGCATGTCATGCCCAGTATATGACATGGTGCTGGCCAGGAGGGGCCAATCGTTGCTCAGGCCTGGTATTAATCAGCAGGTAGTGGGTGTGAGCAAGCAGTTACATGGTACTTAGTTGCTGGCTGGGGTTAAACACAACCATGACCCTACCAGCTTGAATGAACTGTGCTGCCTTAGCAGCTTCCCACTGTTCACTGCACACACTGCTCCAACAACATCCTCATAAATAGGGACTAATATTTTTCTTCCTAATCATTTAGAAAGGAAAATCTATGTGCAGCTAAGAGCAGATAGATGAGCACATCTTCCATCACGAACACTTCAACAGCTCAAGTGATGTTAAATTAATGAACTGTTAATAAGTGGAGCCATGGCTCTGGTGATAAATATTTCAATGGAAAAAAAGATCTTAATCTTTTCCTCCTACCATTTATCTTTATGTAAATAAATAGTTTTTCTGCTTAAGTGGCAAAATGCTAGTAATTATTTTGGTTAATATAAGAAAAGTTCACTTCTGGCGAATTAAGGGAACAGAAAACCCTTGATGTTTATTCCTTAAAGCTAATACAGGAGTTCAGTAGCTGCACAACTTTTCAATGTAAGATTACAACTAATGCATATTGACTGTGATGCAAACATCATGACTGCCTGTTCCCCATCATCCAGCCCAGATTAAAAATAACAAAAAATGCCATGGTTTTCAAGACTTCTATACTGTGCTGGTTACAAATCGAAGAGGCATTTAAATACAAGGCATTTAAATACAAACAGTTCTTGGAAAGGTTTTTAAAGACTACGTATCTTAGTCAATACAGAAACTAACAGCCTAAGTATCTTGGGCCTGAAGTTTTTCGTCATGTCCCTTTGAAGGACTAACTCAAAGAACAACCCCAGTAAATCTACATAGGACGTATCAAGTTGTAAGTTGTTGTTTCTTTAATCAAGGAAAGGATTAAGTTCAAGGTAAAGAAAGCAAAAGAAAACATTCTACTCCCAATTAAATAAATGGCAAGCTATCTATCTGTTTCAATGGAGGATGACCAGAGGTGAAAGGAATCTATTTTCTGAGGTAAGATCACATTTCAGCCTTGGAAAGATTTTGTGGAAACTATATACAATTACTGCTCTTTAAACTTCAATGACTTACCAAAACAACAATGCCATGTTTGATTCCCTTGCCTCAAACTCAGTATTAGAGAAAAAGCAACAAGAAAAAAACCTAACCAAACAAACTCCAGGCCATGGAGGAGTAGGCTGCATTCAAAAGACCTAGGGTGCAAAGTCAGAAAGATAGGAGACACAAAACAAGAAAAGGTTCAAGCAAGAAAAGGCTATTGCATGCTTTACTCATACATGATTGTATCTTAAGGAAGTACATGAAGTATGCTGAAGAAATTGCACTTCATCTTATTTAAACAGAAAAACTATCAAGGAACTTTTTAAACAGTCACAGAACAATTACAGTTGGAAGGAACCTCTGGAGGTCACCTGCTTCAACCAAGCAGGGGCATGTCCAGCTGAGATTTGAGTATCTTTAAAGACAGAGCTTTCACAACCTTTCTTGGCAACCTATTCCAATCTTTGACTACAGCTGCTGTAAAGAATTGTCCCCTTTTATTTATTTCAAACTCGCCTTGCTGAAATGCATTTCAGTTGCTTCTTCTTTTTCCTCTATGCACCTAAGAACCTGGCTTAGTCTTCGCTATAGCTCCATTAAGCAGCTGGAAAACGTGGCAGAATACAGCAGAGGAAATGTGGAAGAAGTCAGTCTATCTTATCTGAAGCACACAAATGCAGATAAGTAAACAGCATGCTGAAATGCCTAAAGCATAATCCTCAGTTTGAAGAGACTCAAGTTCCTTTCCTCATCTGAAAATACATTTGCTGCTCCACCTTGCAGCAAGTCACACAGTCCCTCTGGCTGATATTAATAAATATTATTTAAAATTGATATTAATAAATAAAAATATTTAATAACTAAAATGGGGTTTTAGAAATATTAATATAAATAGATATTAATATTAATAAATAAAATAAATCTTAATAAATAAAATGGAGCCAAGGCATGGGACTGAACACTGTCCTGTGATCATTTATATTATTTAAATATTAGCACACTTAAAACCTGGCATGGCTTTGGCATCGGCTAATTATCAGATCTGAGGTGATATTTGGGTGTGATCTGGATATAATACAAGCCTGGGACCATTCCCAAACTACTTGGACTCTAATAATGGCTGGGGATTAGAGGAAAGGCAGAAGAAAACTGAGGATGTGACCTTCACCTAGGTGTTATGTTTCAAGGTCTGAAAGCCACCCCCAATCTGTTCTATTTAGCAGTACATAAATAAGTCTTCATGACTCAGAATCCCATTCTGTACAACTACTGCAATGTCTCCCACTTCCCATAAAATTGAGGCATTCTGATAAAAACTAACATGCAAGTATTATTGTTACAGTTTTTGCCTGCAGAAGAAACAAATCACGCTAATCAACTTTAAAAAAATCCTTACATCTGGATAACATAGCTACAGATTAAAACTGTCCTATGGGCACAGCCAAGAATTGAAAGGCCAGGACTTCTTTTGTACACTACAGCCTATGGTGCAGCAGTTGTTTCTACACCTTGAGAGAGAAACGAATGAGTGTATCACAGCTGCTGAAACAAAACACTTGGAAACAGAGTTCCCATAAAGAAAAAGATCTGGAATAGATTTGCATTTGCTGTGGAGCTCTAAGAGCACCAACAGTTGTTTGAAAACTGATGTAGCCCTGATGCCACAGTTTAACTGAGGAAGAATCCTTGCCTTTTTTGAACAACCCAGATGTTCTTCCTCCTACCCAGGATCACAAGCATTAAAAAATACATCATACAAAACTGTGTAGCTTCCTTTAGATGCAAAATCTTACCTCAGAACAAAAATAAAGATCTCTTACCAGGCAATCTTACAGGTTTCCACGGTGCAGAATTTGGCACATATGCATGTTTACTAGCAGTCACTATCAGCTGATTGCCCAGCTTATACTGAAACTTGAGGAAGGCAGTGCCGTCTGCTCCTGAGGTTCCAGATGCAATGGAGATCTGGTTGGTAAAAATCTCAATGAAGGCTTCAGTTACTGGCTGATGTGTGCTGGCATCGCTTACATGGACCTTCAGCGTTACTTCTGCAATGACAAACAACCATAGCAATTATCGTCCCAAAAGATTCTATATTCTATATTCCACTTATGACTCACACGCAGCCAGGCAGCACATCACCAGGGGCAGGCAATATCCCCCCGATGGGCAACATGTCAATCTCACAGTAGCATCATAATTCTAATTATGCATGCTATCAAACATCATGGATAGTACGGCATCCCAACTCCGAGAGGTCCCCGCCTTCCTGTGCTTCTGCTCAGCCAGCCTTCTCCACCAGCAGTGGGGAGAGGGAAAGGCTGGAAGTCTGCTGTGCTCCCTCACCCCTTCCCCAAAACATTCTCTCTTTGTGTAGTGAAGGAACAGAGGATGTCTGCTGTGATGGAAGCCTGGGAAGAGAGTGGGCAATGCGTGGCCTGTGTTACACTCAGAGATTTTGATCTCCATCAGGAGAGGTTCCCCCAGCTGGCAAAGGACTTCCCTGGCGATGTCTAACCAAGACAGTGAAAACCCACAGGATCAGGTCCTTGTCCTCAAAACACAGGGCAGGGAGGATGCTAGCAGTGAGGAAGAGGGGTACACTCCCCCCACCACCTCCCAGTTCAGTGGCCTTTTTTCTGAAGGGGCAAACATGTCACAGGCCATGGTGATACCTGCTTGTCTGCCCTGATACCACTGCATTACCTGTCCCCACATATAAGTAGCGGCTATGAGAAGCAAAGAAGTGATAAGGTTAAGGCAGTCTGGAGAATCATACATCTTGTAGACATGCAGTCAGAAGCTAACACAATGGACTTCATTTTCCTTGAGTAATTTGCGATTTTTTCCAGAAAGTAATTACTTGTTTAAATGTTTCCAGATGTACAACATTTGTCTACTCCAGGGCACTCCTAAGACTAAACCATGCATTGTGTCACCACACTTTGTTACATAAAGTGGAGTGGCTTGTGCAAGACAGTCCCTGTGGAAGGCATTCCTCTGTATCTACGATTATTTTTCTGCCCCTCCAATATTTCCTCTGCCTCATGCTCTAAAGAAGCAGCTGTTGCCTTTCTTCAATAACTATGACTTAAATGCAGTGCTGCACTGAAAAGACACAACAACGGTTCAATGCCTCCACCAAGCCACTCCTTGGATTTTTTCATTTACAGTTGCCTTGTTTTCCTCCATGAGTATCTCCCTCCCTCCCTTCTCTCATTCTCATCTTTGGAAATCCTGCTGTTCTTGCATGATGTCCCCCACCTCTGCTTATTCCATTCCCCAAGATAATAGACAGTACCATGTGCAACTCATTTCTTCATGTGCTGCCCAGAAAAGAGAGCATGACCTCCTTTTCATACAGATTTTAAAACGATATATTGATTTACATAGAACAGTGTTGGTGGTACAGTTCTATTACTACTGTGCATTAGATTTTAAGAACTTATTTCAGTGTAAGCCCTGAGCCAGAAAGACATAACACCAAGAACCACAAAGAACAAAATCTCTGTTGTGAATTTCAATAGTGAAATGACACAACTGAGTATGCTGAGAAACATACTGTAACAATGTATAAATTTAAAAGGATATCAGGATCTAATACAGAAATATCAGCACATCTGTCCTAAGGGCATTGCAGCCAGAAACTTATTGAGCCCTTTTATAAGCAGAGACTTTCTGTTTTAATCCTACAGTACAGAAAATACAAATATCAGGCAGCCCTGAACAAAAACCCCATTAAGAGAAATTCATCATCATTGCAGCCCTCACTTTAGAACTTGGCGATGGTGAACACCAATTTAGAAGGGATCAGCATGAAATACATTCTAGCTATTAAAGATTCTGGACTTGTTCCCAGTTTTGCATTTAGTAGTCAAAGAAAACAATATATACTGAAAAACAGTGTCCATACACTCTGATGTGCACATACTGAATGCCTCCTTAGAAATCTTGCCTTGACCACCAAGCAACTTGTGAAGTCTTATGCATATGAAAAGCAGCCACATTAATTAAAGGAGGAATGCCTATGTATTTATGTATTTACAAACTGTACATGTATTTACAAACATGAGGGCAAAAAGCAATATAAGTTATTTTCAAAATGTGCACGAACAATACACTTAGATCCAAAGCCAGATAGCTGTGCTGTTAATGTTTCCCACTTTGAATTGCCTAGCAAAGAATGTTGAAGAACAGATGCGGTTAAGAATAATGGGTCATGCATTAAAGAAAAAGCAAGGGAACAGGACAAGCTGAACATTGTGGTTAGTAATTTCAACAACATGAAAGTTTAGTCTTTTCTAAACAACCACATATAAGAAGGAACTAAAGAGCTTTGAAATATTAATCAAGGAAGAATATAAGAAAACAACAGAAGTACCAAATCTATTTAATTCCTTATAGACAGTCAAAATTCTAGAATAGACTACCACTAAAATTGATCTAGAAACAAAGACTGATAAGCAAAAATTTTCCTGAATACACAAATCCAGATCTCTCTTCCCAAACAAGAGAGCTAGCCACTGGTATCTCCAATAGGAAATTCCTTTATCCTTCACTCTATAGCTATATAGGTGGTTCTGTCTACATCCTTCTCTCTTTCTGATAAGGAAGGATAACGGTTTCCAAAATCCTGTTTCCAAATGAAGTGACAAAGGCCATCACCCAAGATGGAAGACGGATGTCCTGGAATGCAACAGACTGGAACTGCTGTTGTAATCCACAGTCCCTAAATCAGACACTGGGCTTTGTTGTTTTTTTTTTCGCCTCCTTTTTAATATTTAGACTTGTTGGGGCTTTTTTATGACTCAGAAGATAGAGAAAATCCTAGCAGCCTGAACAACCCCAATTCCTTTTCATGTATTATTTTCCCTGACATATATGTGAAATGTATACAACTTACTTAACTCAGGGCTTTCTCCCACACAAAAGCTCTTTTTTTCTTCTTATCTAATGCAGCAGTGAAGTCATGAACAGCAAACCTGCATTATCACAGTGATTTCCACAGCAACAGAATGATTACAAGCTTTAAATTGCAGAGAAATTGTTGAAACAGTGAGTGTGACGAGAACAACCTATAAAGAGAGACTACTAAAAAAACTTAAAGCTATACAGTAAGTTTGAGAATTGTTAGGAGATACTCAGGACTTCTTAACAGGAAAACTGAAGAAAGAAAAGAAGAGAACAGAGGAAAGACAGCAAGTGATCAAAATCACTCTGACCTCAAATTAATAGGGAGGTCTTAGACCGAAGCATTACGTATAATAAAAGAACTATTTAATTATTAAAAAGCTGCCTCGAAGACTCATTATTAGCTACAGAATACAGTCTTTAAAATATCTGGCAAACATTTTAGTCTGTACTTTCAGTAAAACAGTGGGAATAAAGCAGATACATTATTCTGGAGTTTTACAGCCTACCACAGCAAGCAGCTCACCAGAATTAAAGACACATGGACTCTGAGAAGGAAGAACATCTGCAGTAGGTGGGGAACATGATGGAGACAGGAAACTGAAAGCACTGCAGAAGGTGAACTCTGAGAACATGAACTGCTAACATGAAGCATGCTTCATCCTTCCACAGATTTGCGATACTGTTTTCTCTCTATTATTGACTACAGCAGGAATATTCAGTTACAAAGATCTGAAGGAGCTTTGCTCTGTGCTGCTAGTGAGGTTCTGTAGGAAGGAAGGGGACATAATGGTGCACAGTGTTGATGTTTCCTCCCTGCAGATCAAAGCAGACGGCTGAGGTGACAGGCCCCAGGCTGATGAATTCACCCAGGGCAGGTGACATCTCTCCCATCCCCCAGACAGGCCAGGCTATGCCTGAGCCAAGAGCCCCTAGGTAGCAGCCAGACCTGGCTCCTGACCAGTGTGCTGTGAATGTGACCCTTTCAAACCTGGGCTCTGGCACACGGCTACCTTTTGGCTTGCAGGGCACAGGCAGAGCCAGAGTAATTTGCTTGTACCACTAGCCCATGCCCTGTAATATTCCCACAGGAATGTTTCCTGTCCAAAGCAAGAGCTACTTAATGTTAACTGTTCATTTCCAGGAGATAAACTACAGGCAAAGGTATCCTGTCTGGATGGGCAAAGAGACCCTGTGTCCCTGTATAAAAGCACTGCTAGGAATGGGCCACACAACAGTTAAATAGTGCAAGCCATCTGGGAAACCCTGCAACTCCACTTCAAGAATCCCAAAGCAAAGTGGGAAAAGGAGGTTAGTAGGAAAACAGCAAATACAGAGTTACAATCCACAAAGAGGACAAGGTTGCTGTATGTATACGCTGAAGCAAGTCAAGCGTAAATTTCTCTTCTCACAGTTATAATCCTTTGTCGTCTTTCAGCAATTGCATCTTGCTGTTCAAATGAGTGCAAAAAAACCCTACCAGTTACAGTGAAAACAGCTGCTGAAGTATAACTCCCTCCCAGTTTTCTAGTACTAAATTTATGTCAGCTGTATAAAAAAAGTCCCAGCATCTCCAAGGTTATAATTTGGGAAAGTGAAACAGAAAAAGGCAAAAAAAAGCCCTAGCATGTTAGCTAGGCAATCCAGAGCCCCATCTGTCTTCTTAATCTGATTTTTGAGATTTTGCTAAATCTAAACTTTCTCTGAGCAATCCTTCCAGTGCCATCTGCTTTATGAAACATACTGCCTCCTCTGAAATACAAGTAACCTTAAGACAACTATTTCTTCAGTTGCAACCCCTCTTAGACTCACAACTGCTCTTTATGTTGCTGTGTACTCCCAGTTTGGGAATGGTTTCCTTCAGAACTGGTATAATCAGTGCTGTTGTCTATAACCAAACTCCTGAAAAGTGAAAAGCACTGGTTTTGGTTTTTAAAAATAACCGAAAGCACACACAAAACCCCCATTCTTTGTAAAATTCTATGTAACATATAGAATGTTACATAGAAAACTCCTGAGCCATCTGAGTGATGGCACACTGTCAAATCTCAAATACTGAAATAAACAGAGAAAAGTTATGACACAGATTGGAATTCAAAGATGACAATCTTCTTTAGATGCCAATCCTGCAATTTGG